CCCCAAAACCCCAAAACCCCTAAAAGATTATATATAATATCTTTAAGAAATTAAGGGATAAACAACTTAAATAGAAAATAATCAAATAAAATGCTCTTACCTGCTTTTAAAAACTTACTGGTAACTAGATCACTATCTAGTCTGACTGATACTCTTTCCTTGGTTGTATACCTCGATTCTCTTGTTTAGTTTTACTATTTTCTTATTATACTCGTCTGGCTTAATATACCATCTCCCATAGTTAGCCACCTTCAGTCTCCTTATATCCTCCTGATTTTCAATGATCTATTCATAGTCTTTATTTTGATGAACCTTTATCGGTTTAAGGAAATTTAGCTGATCCTTGACAAAGTCCTTATTCATGCTGTTCTTGTACTCGAATAAATCAGGATTTACCTATCTGTAGTGATTATGATCTCTAATGAATTTAAGCAAGCTGGTTTTAAACTCAACAGGTGGAACATATTTATCCTATCTCTCAGGGTCTTTGGCATAGATCTTCTCAATTGTACCCTCTAGTTTTTGCTAATGCTTCTAGGCAAACTTAATAAAGTAATCATTCTATCTCATTATGCGAGCATAATGCTCTCTAGCTAGTTCGTCCTCTTCACCATTATCAGCAAAGTTTTCCTTTTTCATGTTATCAGAGCTAAATGCCTGACCCATATCTATTTTGCTCACATTTAGTTTTTGTTTGTCAAAGGGACCACCAACTAGTTTGGCTATACCCCCAACTTTCAAGCCTAGACTCAAATCCTCAGCTATCATGTTCTCGAATGAATTTGGATTCTAAGAATCTTTTTAGATGTTTTCATAGATTTTTACTTACAGTTCTCTGATGTATTCCTTTTCTTCCCTATCTCTGATTGCTTGGACTTCTGCTTCTTAATATATGCTAAAATCAGGGTACTAATTTGATTATTGAAGTGCTTTAATTCGCCTAAGTTCCTCTTTTTTTGATATAGTATTTACATTAACATTCTGACCTAACTCAATGCTTTACCGAAGCCTTGGACTACCGCCATTTAAAGAGTTTTTCTCATCAAGTGACTCATCAACCTTATACCCATCATTTCTATGCTTTCTATTCTTCTAATCTTTCCTTACGAATTTTTAATAGATAGTATCTGTGACTTTAGGACTTACATAAGACTCATCAAACATCTTCAAATCGCTAATGATCTATGTATCTTTATTCAATTTCATTGTACTAGACTAATAATTATCCGTTTAGCTCTGATCTCTGAAAGTATATTTACTTTCATTCATTGATAGCTTATTCTTGTTACTAGCTAAACTTGCCTGTTAATAACCATTATTTTCAATATTAGAGTTGTTTCTTGAGTGCTTTGTCTTCTTTCTTGGTTGCAAATTATATACACTGTTCACTTGGTTGTCTCGGTCTAAAATATTTGGTAAGGCCATTGAACCCTACCTGGTATGTGAATTCGGAATATTTCTTTGCTTATTATAAGAATCTTGCTCCAATTTGGAACTCACCTAGTTTCTTATCTTTTCCAAATATACACTTGTGGATTGCAGATCCTTTGGAATTTCCAAATCCTGAACAGGATAGTCGAGTACTGACTTTTCATTGTCTTTGTCTTCAATCACAGATTTCACCTGCTTCTCTCTGAGTTTGATAATTTCTTCTTCTCTCTCTTTAATGTACTCCTGAATTATCTGCTTGCCTCTTTATCTAAATTTCTTATGCATATTAAAGCCACTAGTTATTTTCATCTTCCAAAGCTCCTCAGTGGTGAAATCCATCATTGGTTGCCTCTATGTCTTCCCTTAAAATTTAAGTGAGTCATTATGATGTTATTGCTGTGACTAATCTTCATATATACTCTTGATGTTGGAAAGAGTGGTAACGTTTTAACCCTAGAACAATTGTCTTTCTGTTTTTGGATAATTTTTATAGTCAAAATTAGATTGAGGTTGAGCTTATGTGGGGAATTTCAGGCTTTGCATATTATTTCTGGAACTTCTCCCCCCTAGACTTTCCAATTGCTAGATGCTGTTTTTATAGGAATAACTACTTTAATTTTTTGAGTTTTGAATCATCGGCTCTTCATGAAAATTGTTATTAGCTATCAGATTCTTTTTTATATTTGTGTTCATTTTTATTTAATTTTTTTTACTTCATGCCACGGATAAATTTTATCTATTGGGGTTTTGGGGTTTTGGGG